TAACTTACCTATGTGTCTACCAGTTTCATCATTACTAAACCTATGCATTCTCCTTGAAACTAAATCTGCATAAGTTCCACACCATTTCCCCCTAGCCCTTCCATTTATATTATATACTAGAAGAATTTAAGCTAAAGTAATAGTGTCAAATTTAGATGCATTTGACAATGCACTTTTCCTCTGATGAGGGATGGGCTAATGTAATCAGCAATTACTTTTTTGTGTGACCTTTACAAATCAAGTGATTATTTCCTTGCTTTTCATTTGTATTTTGCTCCCAGTGGCACAAGACTGCTGCAGTTAGTATAAAACATAATTTATAGATAGAATCACATTACAATAGGGTGCAATATTCTCAGAAAACATACATACTGCATGGACTTTTTAATTAAATAATTCAAAGAAATGTATAAGCTGGCCAAGACTAAATTTATGCTGTTAATTCACAGAGGAGTTTCCACGATCGCCATAGAGATATCCTGGAGCAGCTGCCAAGTATTGAAAGTGGAGGCAGCAATAAACCTTGTCTAGGATAAATCCTGTGTTACTAACAGAATTACAGTAGAGAGATGCCATAGTGTTAAGGATCCAGACTGGTGACTGCAGAGGGTCCTCCTACCAAATGCACCTATTTTACACCCACTGGTTGAATAAACAAGCATAGAGTTTAATGCCTTCCCAACACATGCGGTTGTGAAGAGTGTTTCATTTTGACATGACTATCTGGTTCTTCTGTGGTCTGGGGAGCATTTGTTCATGAAAGGCATCCAGTGAGTAACAGTGGGTGAATCTGAGTGAATGATGATCTACATCCTTGAGACTTCTTTCCACTGCGTTAATAGATTACTTATACCGACGAATGTCTTCTGAACAATTTAGCCTTTTCTTAGAAATGACATTAAAAAGGCGGGGGGAGGGGGGGCGCAGGATTCTTCTTTTAAGTATAGATAACAAAAACCCCATACCCAACAGCAACAAAACCTCATGATTCATTTGTTTTGAGTTAAGGAAACCTTTTGGAAATAGGACGTTCTGTCACTTATTCAGTGAATCAACTGATGATGCCCCAATAAAAACTGCAAAAACATCTTATTGCAAAGCTAAATATAAGTGTTAAAAGTAACTGGCTGTCAGGGAATATAAATTATTAACTCACTGGTGTGGGTATATATATATCTTTTTTTAATAGAAGATACAAATCCAGAACAGAAACATGGAGGATCACACTAATTATCTTTGTTCCCATGTTGATCACATGACATTTCTCATATTTTTCCTGTACTTCTCAAATTTCCATTTAGTCACAAGAGGTTTTTTGTAAGTGAAGGAGCCCAGGATGAAGAGCAGTAATTTTAAAGATCATAACAGGAAAAAAAATTTAAGACATTCTGTTTTCTCACAACACCACAAGAGTTGTGTTCTGAAGCTTTTTATTCTAAATTTTCAGTTTCTTGGAAAGGCGGAAAAAGGAAAGTTTCAGTAAAATATTGTTTTACAGAGAATGTTTCTGAAAGTTGAGAATAGAGCAAAATATACATATGAGGAAAAAGTCTATATTTTTATATATACACCCATGCACTTTTTAATATCGACATGCATATAGAAGTTCACATAGCATATTTGCCCAGAGAAGTTGTGGCACCAACTTCTGTGGTTCTCCAGAGAAGTTGTGGATGCCCCATCATTCAAGTGTTCAAGGTCAGGTTGAATGGGCTCTGAGCAACCTGATCTAGTGAAAGATGTCCCTGCCCACAGCAGGGGGGTTGGAACTAGATGCTCTTCAAATGTCCCCTCCAACCCAAACCATTCTATGATTCTACATTGGAAAGCGAACAGGAAAAGGACATCCTCTCAAAAGAAAATAGATCAACTTTTGGCATAGTGAACTATGTCCATGCTAAACCAAATGAGGGAGACATGAAATATGGAAAGTAGCAGTTCATGTCACTGCAGAATAAGTATCTGCATAAAACCACCATGGTTTTTGGCACAGAAACCGTTGCTCTTGCTATTTCTGGGGGCTATGGTACCGATTCTTCCCTGCAAGCCTGTTATGGCTTGTGATGCTGATAGTGGGGATAATTGTCTGACAAACGAGAACATTGATTTTCTGAATTTGGATAATACTTTGGTTTGATAATTAGCAGTAGGATCCTTCTAGCTCAAGAAAATGAATTTCTGAGCACTATATGGGCTACTGCATCTTGTACTTACATTTCCACTGCAGATACAGGACTTGGTTCATTGGAGGGTTTTGAAGTCAGAGACGGTATGCACATTTGAGCTAGTAAGATTGACTTTGAATTTGGACCTGAATTAGGAATGACTGCTTTTTACTCATCTGGCTCGTCTTATCTCTCAGGTTCTTTACTAATATAAACCAATACAATGGAAGAAAAAGGTATTGTTGGTCTAAAATACTACTGCCACCAAAAACCTGTACTTTGAAGGAAATACTTAGGTTTACCATTCTCCTAAGAAAAGTTTTAAGTAGAAGACATGGTTTTCTGTTATCATTCAAACACAAAAAGCTATAATTAGAAAGAAATTTAAAGTGATTTGCTAATTATTCCTTGTTGTCTGATATTTTTCTGACTGTACCAGCCTTATTTTATCTCATTGTTTTATTTAAAGAAGGCAAAGATCTCTGCACAGACTGAGAATAGATATGGTTTGCAAATATGACAAGTCTGTGTTTTGCATTGCCGAGTTCTGGTTAGTTCTTAATTTATGAAACCCCACTACAGATGGCCTCTTGCTAAATTTTAAAGAGCTTCCACATTTCAGAACCAGGCTACCTTTCAGCAAGTCACTTTTGTCAAAGCCTTGGTGTTCCTTCAAGACACTGTCAACATACCCCATGAGAATGTACAAACGGTGAATACCCTGGTCTGTTCTGTATCATATATTTGAATCTCTGGAATTTATTTAAATGAAGTGAATAAGAATGTATTTTTTCTTACTAGAAAATAAGTTACAGCAGGTCTATTTCTAGACAGCAGAAGTAAGTGTGCCTTAGATGGTGATTAAGAGTTGTGTTCTTCTTTAAATGACTAACCTGGAGTGAGAGGTTGGATGTCTTTTGAAAACTTAAACCTGTTTCACCTGAACATGTTTAACTAGTTAATAAGAAACATCAAAAAAGACAAAACCCTGAGGTCAATGATCATTTTTTGTAAAGCCATTCGATGATGTTTAAATTTGTTTTTTGGGTCTGTCTATAACATAAGTTTAATAACCTAGCTCAAATGCAGATTTCTAATTTTCAATTAACATAGGAATAATTTTGTTTGCTAAAATAAAATAAATGAATGAATGAAAAGTCTGAACCATGAAATGTTCTAGGTAGCACTTTTTAAAATTCCAAATTTCAAAAAATCATGTGGCAACTGTATAGCTCAAGCTTTAAGTATTAACTTTTAACCTTTGACCTTACAGATTTTAACCAATGAAATGTCTCTTTAAACTTTAAAGGAAACAATGATAACGAGCGCCTGGCGATTGCTAGACAGCGAATTCCATATCGACTTGGTCGAGTAGTTGATGAATGGCTACTCGACAAAGGTAAAAAACATTGATTAAAACTTCAAATAAAAAAATAATTTGAACATAACCAAGTAGTACTTCATTGTAACACTAATAAACATAAAAAATAAATTTCAGTAAAACTAAATTAAAAACAACTTTAAAAAAGTAAAATATAGAGTAATATTTGCATACCTTGTATAATAATTTCTATACATTTCTAGAAGTACCAGCTGTTTAATAATCTTACCCTGTTAACTTAAGGTTAAAGGGACTGTTAAATATAATCCACTAACTCAATCTATGAAGGTACTCATAGCAAACATTAACCAAAAATTATAAATCATTCATAGATTATATTACATGTTCCAGCATCTAAATTATTAACTAAAAATATATGTAGTTACGAGATCTTCATTATGGTCCTGAAAAAAAAATTTGTTTAAACTGTAGGTATCTTAAATAGTGGGCAATATGAATTGCCAATCAAAATGAAGTCCCTTTAACGTTTGCAACCTTCTGAAGGGGATTTTGGAACAAACACTAATTAAAACAGAGCTTAAAGTTGTGTGCATGCTTTTTGTGAGCAGAAACCAATCTGCTAAAGTGACTATTCTATTTACTAAGAGTGGTACTGTTGCTGAGGATTTCTCTGTTTACTGGAAATGTGCCATGATTTCTCCATCGGTATGTGTATCATTTCTGAAGCCGCTTTTACATCTAAAATCTTTTATTTTAATTGATAGCCTTGCTGAAAGCCAATCAGACATCTATTTTTGAATCTGCCTCTGAGATACTCAGTGTGAACCATGTGTTTCTTTTCAGTGTGGATGTTGAAGGAAAATAAACATTTAAATACAAAAAGGAAACATTTAATTAAAAAAGTAAATATTTTATTCACTTATATAGAGATATGACAGATTACTCCATAACATATTCTTTAAAATTCACTGGACCTAGTGACTTGTGGGCATATATATAAACTCTCTCTGTGTGTATACACATATTTGTATATGTCTATACATACATAAACTCACATGTACATACTTAAAGCTATAGGCCCTATGCTGTATTGCGAGGAAAAAACTGAAATGTTGGCAGACTTGAAGAAAAAGTAATCTTAAGGAATTTGAAACCTGGCATTCTTGACACACACCAAAAAGCTTAACACTGCTTTCAGGTAAAAGGGAGAGGGATATCATTTCTAGTACTAAACACATTTGCAAATACATTTGATTGGCCTTTTAGCAAAAAAAAAAAAAGTCCCAAAACATCGTAAATTAAGAAAAATGCAAATGCTCTCAAAATTTATGCATTTCATGGACACCTCATTAAAAAGCAATGAATTATGAGTCAAATCCTTTTCTTATAGTTTATTGCTCTCATTATTCACCCCATGAAAATCTGTTATCACTTGTGTAGAGTATAGTGTTCACAGTCAACATTTTTGCATGTATATAATATTATCTTCACAGGGCGTCAGCTCACAATCTTCAATAGCCAAGCAACCATAAAAATTGGAGGCAAGGAACGTGGCCACCCTTTCCAAGGCCAGCTCTCTGGTCTTTACTACAATGGCTTGAAAGTTCTGAATATGGCAGCAGAAAATGATGCCAACATCGTGATAGAAGGAAATGTGAGACTTGTTGGTGAAGTGCCTTCCTCTATGACAACTGAGTCCACAGCCACAGCGATGCAGTCTGAGATGTCCACGTCAGTCATGGAAACAACCACCACTTTGGCCACGAGCACCGCTAGAAGAGGAAAGACCCCAACAAAAGAACCTATTGGTCAGGTTAGTCGGCTTCCTCATCTTTTGCAAATATTTTCCCTTCTTTGAGTGTGGCTTCCCATATCACGTTCACTCTGCAGATAATTGTTCCAGTTGAAGAAATGCATGAATTACAGATAAAAGTTCTGTACCATACATGGCTCATGGATGCGATGTTGATCAGCATTTAGAGGGAAAGTAAAGACTTTGCTGTTCTTTTAAATTAGGCAAACTTACCAGCTCAGGTTTTTCTTGTGCTGAGTTTTATTGCCCTGTCATCCGTCTTCATAGTGGTGCATATTTTTAAATACTCTTTCTTCCTTTGATGACCTATATCAATTATTTTCAGTGTAGGTATGCAGGATATCTGGAATTAGAGATAATGAAATGAAGTGGTGACTTTATCAATGAGGTAGAGAAAAGATACCTAGTTTGAAGAGGGAACGGGAAGGAGGTGTGAAGACAAAATGTTGGAAGAGGCTGGAAAGGAAGGAATTAGCGGTTTCTCTAGTCCCACGATTGATCATCATCTTGGGCAGTATTCCTCATAAGAGGCAGCGGCAGCAGAGGGAATTAAGAGCACTCTGCAATCCGAGAGACTCAGGCTCCAAGTCAGAGGCTGTTGTTTACTGTTTGTTGAGGTTATTTGCATCTCATGAATTTAGTGATATATTTAGTAGCTTTCAGGTTTTGTCAGGATCTCTGTATAATATGTGGGGGAATTTGATTATCAGGAAAAGGAGGGAGAAAATCAGGTGAGTGAATTAAGTACCTTCATCTTGTGGATACCCTGAGTAACAGTATTCAGACTTTGTGCTGTAAAAACCTAGAACTTACCAGGATGTTTCTGTGGCAGAGAAAATTCTTTTGTATTTATTCTGCCTTAAAAAAACCAAGAAACCAAAAAAAACAAAAAAAGGGTACACTGCTAAAAGCTTTTCCTATGTTCACTTGGTTCACTCGCTTGTGCACCCACTGTGCCATCAAGCCATGACAGCTCTGCTCTGAGATCCAGAAGTAGGACAAGGAGCAAAGAAAGCGTCACGAGCCGTAGGGAGGAACAGGAGCACAATGTGATGAATGAGGTTAATTTTCTCAAGAATGGAGGAGAACATGTTGATTAGACTGGGAGGATGAGGGCAAGTTGCCTGTTTTCTCTGTAAAACCTCAACTCGCAGTTGGAATTTGATCAGGGCATCAAACGCAACACTTCAGCTTTTCTGTCTCTAGTATTCTGGTACACTTTATATTATGGATTGAAAACTATAGTGATGTAAAAGTAAAAATTGTTATTTTGTATAAGGAAGAAGAACATTTACGTTAAAAGTGAGCTTTCAAAAAATTTTTTTGGTGTGTGTTGGTCTCTTCTCCCAAGTAACAAGCAATAGGACGAGAGGAAATGGCCTCAAGTTGCGCCAGGGGAGGTTTAGATTGGATGTGAGGAAAAATTTCTTTACTGAAAGAGTGGTTAAACATTGGAACAGGCTGCCCAGGGAAGTGGTTGAGTCACCATCCCTGGAAGTATTTAAAAGACGTGTAGATGCGGCACTTAGGGACATGGTTTAGTGGGCATGGTGGTGTTGGGTTGACGGTTGGACTCGATGATCTTAGAGGTCTCTTCCAACCTTAATGATTCTATGATTTTGACTTGTATTTTCAAATAAACATGGGTTTTATGTGTTTTCCTTGTTTACTTAAAGTGCGTGAGAATCCAAAGGACAAAAAAAAAGGGGGCAATAAAACCCAACTAGAGATACATGGAACCAGCTTCCTCCAAAAAATGACATCCATTGTAGATCATAGGTTGCAGTTCTTTTAATGATTATTGTAGTAAACTACAGTGTTTTTATTAAATAGGCAATAAATTTCCTTTGTTATTAATTCTGTTTTAAATATTATCTCCTACTTTATTATCCAACAAGTCTGATCTCAGTATTTTGCAGCAATGAAATGTAAGACCTCATCAAATTTGCACAGAGGAAGATCTGCATCTAAAAGTGCAGGACATCCTCACAGCGTGGAAGAATTTGGGCTAAATTAATGCTACTAGATTAATATTAAACTAAGTTAAACTGTTCTAACAGTTCCCAGCATGCTTTTGGCTTCTGCCACTCTCTCAGGTAACTTCCAGGCACAGTTTGGGAGGAAGAACGTCACAGGGAGCATTGCCAGTTGGCACCTTGCATGATTTGTGGGCAATGGGAGTTTACTGGAATAGTTGCTTTGCCAGTTGGCCTCAGCTTCCAGGAATATTCCCCAGTATGATTTACTCACTTGTTTGGATGTCTAGCCACTAAGATTTTTCTTTCTGAGGTGTTCCAATGGCATATTTGGGGAAGAAAAAGGTTTCTTAAGCTAACAACTATGATAAGGTATAATTTTTTCTGAAGAGGGGAAAGAGACGATTAGGCAAAAAGATCTTCCACAGATCTTCCGTTTCTAGACTGTGGTGCCTGAAATAAACTGTGGCCCTCACCGACTTTATCAGAGCATCTACACAGTTTATTTAGAGCACCTCGCTGCCACTGGAGCAGTGACTCAATGCAACCGTGCCGTTCCATCATCCCTTCCTGGCTGAGCTGGCTACACCACAATGCTGTCAGCACCTGCTCTTTGATGTCCCACCATCACAAGCCTCAGGCAGGCTCCAGGAGCATCCAGAGGTGCACAGCATCTCACCAAAGCACGTTCTGAGGGTGAAGGTTTAGGTCAACCTCTCTCGCCTGTTAGCCTGGCTGATGCGAGTCCTTGACGCAGCCCATTTGAAACAACTTGGCAGGAATATTTCTGTATCTAAGAGCCCGAAATCAACATTTCTGAGGAAAGCGTTCAGTGTTAATGCCATTAGAGCACAGGGCATCCTGAGTCTGTAACTGACCCCTTCTTGCCATTAATAATACACAGTGGTTTACTTCAGCTATGTCTAAACATCCTGCCTGGTAGGATCTGTGTTGTCATTACGACTATACACTTAATTAGTCAGGGACTGCACTGGAACGCAGTTTGCAATCAGGCCTGTGATTTGGTTTGAAGAAATTGATAACATCCCAAAGTCAAAGCTGGAATTTGTCTGCAGGATGCTGTGTTATTCATGCAACAAACTCAGACCTAGGAAGCTACTAAATCAAATTAAGGACATAATTTCTTCTCTTCATTAATACCTGTTTTCTTATTTTACCTGCATGTAATAATTTCTGTGCTAGTGACCCATAGGACTCCCATGGGTCTATCCTGCAGGGTGCCAAGTAATCACTTTCCATCTTGATGTCACTGGGAGATGAAGGCATTCACCATCTCATGGAAAATCTACTTTTAATTTCTGCATTCCCTTTCATTTTTGTCCTTTACATTTTTTTCTGATTTTTATTTATATATAAGCTCTGCAAGAGTGTCAACTACATTGACATACTGTAATACACAAGAAGAAAAGTTACCTTTCTAGCACTAATTAGGTTACTGAAGAAAATATACAGCTGAACAGCAATTGCTAATGAAAAAACTTTACATTATTGCAAACCAGTGCATGTCTGAAATAGAATAGAAGCAAATGATCTAATCAGTCAGAGATTGTTTGCTCCATTTGCAGAGGTATTGAATTCAATTAAATATTACAATACTTAAAGATCATTTAAATCTCTATTTATAGGAAATATTCTTTTAAAAAAACTACAATGTTAGTGCTTAGTTTGATGGAGTGTGTTCTTCTCAGCAGATATCTAACTAATGCAATATATGATACAAGGTAGATATGATACTTCCAGAAAGTATGTTGAATACTGCTGTGCATGATTTTAGACAAATGAGGTCTTAGCGCTCTGAAAAAAAAAAAAGCTTTTTGTTAGTGACTCTGCTCTCAATGAAGGTTTTTCCTACTTGGAGGCTGTGTCATATTTTAACAATGGACGTTTTGGTGATGACAGACATCTTATTATACTTGTAAATGGAGATTTTTCAAAGGGGAGAAAGGTACTCAAAGCCTATTGAACGTCAATGGTAGGTGAATGCCTCATTTTCCTTAGCGCCTTAAAAATCCCCCCTCTCTTTGATTATAATGGCATCTAGGGCTGTCAGCCTTCATGCAAGGCACTGCGTGAACACATAGGAAGTGACAGTCCCTGCCTCAAATAGCTTACAGAGTAAACAAAAGGTATCAGGTAAGGAGGAAAAAAAAAAAAGGAAATTAGGAGGTGGGAGAAGAGGGAAATAAAGGAAGCATTGCGCTCTTTCAGTGTTAACAAGCAACGTGCGGATTTGCAGCCATGCAAAAAACATGCAACCAGTTTACTGCCTGGTTTTTGATCCAGGCTCCTCAGATAACAGCCCCCAAGCTACACCTCTCCTGTAGGATCACAGCTTACGGTAGAATCTGGAGCAGGCAATTTAAGGACTGGACCACCCAGTTTGTCCCAATTGGGCAGTTGGTGCGAAATCGGCACCAGTTGGGTGGTTGATGAGAGGTTTTGCCTACTTTGCTCCTCACTTTGCCATTGACATTTGGGGGAACCCATGGCCACTGGCACAGGAGCTGAGGATTGCGGGAGAAGTCCTTCACTCCCCCGGCACTGGACGGGAGGAGGCTCAAAATTTTGTATACCTTTATGAGCATGAAAACAAATCCCCAACCTTAAGTGTTACAAGAACAGGACTTCTGTTAAGTGAAAATATGCAGCTATGTGTTGCTAACTTTTGGTGAGCCGTAAGTATGCACAGGGGCTCAGAAATCATGAATTTGGTCTAAGAATATCATCCTCTGTATGAAGTTATTCAGCAAAATGATGCAGTTAAGTTCTTTCTTCTATTTCTCTTTTATTTTTGTCACTTTTAAAAAGTCTCATTTGCAAGTTTTTCTATTCAATCATGAAGGTGATAAACTTCTTTTAAAATTGAAAATAAAGGAGATTCACTTATTGTATAACTCCAGGAGCCGGAATGTTAAGCAAAACATCAAGTACTGCAAGGTTTGCAATAAAAATTGCAAGAGTTGGCAGAAGTGGAAAGGCTTCAAAACGACTTTGAGTATGGGT